CTGAGTAACAGTGATTACAACTACCACTTTACAGCGGTGCGATCTGCATGAAGTGAATGGTGGCAACAATTTTCCCGGTGAGAGCAGTCAGCAGCCATTAGCGTATTCCCACAGATCAGCCAGATAGCAGGAAGGTTGCATGTCGCTGCTTGTTTGTACAGGGTGGGGCAAAATTACTGCATTGGTGGTGCACTAAATTTTCAATGGCATTTTGACAATAATTCTCACAAATCAATTCTAATTATCAATATTATTTACTACAAACATGACAATACAAAAAATGTTAATGCTTCTCAAAATGATCTCCTTTAGCCTTCACACAGTCCTTCAGACGTTCGACAAATGCTTCGCATGTGGCACGCAGGTACTGGTCATCGATTTCGTCCCAAGATTTTGAAAGCGCCGCCTTAAGAGAGTCCAAGTTTGGATGTCTGGTAGAACACGCTTTGCTCTCCAAGATGGACCACACAGAGTAATCCATCGGGTTTAGATCAGGAGAACTGGAGGGCCATTCGTCGTGTCTGATGAAGTCGGGCAGGTGCTCGGCGCACCACTCCTGGACCATCTTTGCTTTGTGTGCTGGAGCAGAATCCTGCTGGAAGCACCAGTAGGCTTCTCCGAAATGGGAGTTGGCCCACGGCTTGAGAACTTCCTCCAGGATATTTTTGTAAACCTCTGCGTTGATTTTTACACCAGCTTCAACGAAAACAAGTGGGGTCTTCCCCGTAGAGGTGACTCCTCCCCAAACAAGAATGGACTGGGGGTGTTTCGCTCTTTCCTGGAGTCTTGCCTTGGTGGTAGCATCAGCAAGTGATCCTGCAATAATCCTCTCATTTTGGGAGTTGAAGGCTGGATTCAGAGTAAAAATCTTTTCATCACTGAAAACGATGTCTCGGGCGCGTGCCACCGTGAATCGCTGCAGCAACTTCTTGCATCTCTCCAATCTCCTTTTCTTCATAATGTCCGTCAGGAGTTGGCATTTCTGCAAGCGATAGGGGAACTTCCTTAGCTTACTTCTGACAATCCTCCTCATTGACCTCGCGCTTACTCCAACGTCTTTCGCCATCTGGCGCATCGATCTCCTGGCGTTCCTTCGAATTCTTTCTCTGACGAGCCTCACATTTCTCCGACTCGTAGCTGTTGTGGGACGTCCTCTTCCTTCCCTGTCCTCTTCGGTCTTCAGTTCTTTATAGCGTCGTACTGTATTCTGAACCGTCCTTCGAGGTACGGAAAGGATCTTCACAATTTCTCTTGTTTGCTTGCCGTCGTTGTGAAGTTTGATGATCGCGCTCCGTAGGTCAGAACGACGGACCATTTTGTTTCACAAGAATGCTGGGTTGTGAACAAAACTTTCGCCCCAGGCGGGACTAGAACCCGCACCTCTCGCTTTCCGGGCAAGTGCGCTACCAGTTACGCTACCGGGGCACCATTTCATTCCAACTCAGCTTTTCATTTTGTATTCGAGTACATAGGAATTACGCAACTCCAGGCAACATATCACAAGCGAGTGAAACAGGAAAATCTCCAAGAAGTGTTAAAAAATTCAAAACGTATAGGTGCACCAGTAATTTTGCCCCACCCTGTACGTTGATGTACGGCACACTTCGCTAACAGCCAGCACCTTTCCAGCTGCCCCTAGGATTGAGCACACATTAACACGCCCTTAAAGAAAAAGGGTAATGAGAATTGGGCATCCACTACAGTCGTGTTCAGTGACTATCACAGATTCCGCTATTTACCAGTGACTTAAGGGCGGCTACAACAAGAGACACCTGTAGGTCAGCTAGACCGCTGTGGTGATTTTTCTCTAGTCTCTACATAAAATATAAGAGACATTTTGCAGCGAATATTGGTACCACGGGTGGAAAAAGGCAATACAACGACTCGATGGAACCATCAAGTGTACATAATGTAGATGCGCTTGCAATTCTAATGATACCTTACCCGACCCTAGAAGTTCATTTTTACGAAAATCGCCCGTGTTTCAATCCTCACTGGTTTTTAGGCACTTTTTTCGAGCGAGCGAGTTTTCGAGACTTCATGTAGATTATAACTTACTTCGCAGTGGTTTGTGGGGAGAATGAAGCGATCCGCTGGGAACAAGGAGATTTGTACATTTTGATAGACGGAGGAATTGTTTTGCAGAATTACACATTTGGAAAATTTCCTTTGTGGATATTTTTCTTTCCAGTCTCGAGTCTCGAGAATCTTATGAGACATCTGGACTCCTCCAATGCAATCTCTTCGCTCATAATAAAATCGAACTTGCAAGCGTTTAGCGCGCAACTGCTCATCCGGGATGCGCCACACACATCAGTGGTTTCGAATAGGAAAACCACTTGAAAAGCTTTTTAATCTAGCTATGGCTTGAGAATGCCAGCCACACTGTTTTGAGATGTGTTACTGTTGAAGCCTAACTAGAGGATACAAACTCTTAATCCTTACCCTTTTCCACCTTCGCTTATGAGGAATGTTGATACCGTCACGATTCCAGCTGCTGGCCGCTGAATTTACGAACCTTCACCTTCCCGGCAGTTAAATACGGTTCCCTTACAGCAGGGTGAATAACGGTCGAGGAAATCCTCGACCATGGCTCTCTACTGTGCGAGAGTAGTGCCGAGAGTGAATGTACGCGCGGAGAGCACAGACGGCTCGCGGTGGCGAGAGTGAATATCCGCGCGGGAGAGCGTGACAAAACAGCGAAAATCCTCGACGAGCCGTTGTCGTTTCCTTGGCCAATTTTCACCCCGCCTCTCAAGTTCGGTGGACGGACGGTTGATCGTGCTCAACATACTTCTTTTCCGCTCGCATTTTCTTTCCAAATTGGCCGTCGAGCAGGGGGCAAATATGAATATGAAATGGTGAATGTTCTATTTTTTAATTCATGCTCCCACCGTGAAAATTTCGCTCAATTCGGTGAAACTCATCGGAAGCGATCCTCCATCACAGCGCAGCCCCTCAACTTCCACCATCACCATCGCCTTTGAAAATCTCGCATACGAATAATTCAAACCACAGCCGACTGTGAAGACTACCGGCGATCGTAAACGATTGGTGCGACGTAAGGTAGTGGTGAAGGTAAATGTACAGGGGAAAAAAAAAGAATCACTTCCCTCCACATTCAAAACGGATTAAATATACGTCGCAAACCAAACCAAATGAGCCAACTGAATATTAAAGAGCACATTCAATCTATCAAAAGTTACATGACAGCCTTCTACACCGACGACATCAGAAGATTTTCCCACGGAAACATGGTTCACGGTACGAGCTCAACGAGGTCGTCGAGGTACCATAGACCATTACGACGTCCCTGAAACGCTGGTCAAAAGCGGTGCACAGTCACAGCTAGTGTCTCTAGAAGCTATTCACCAATCCGATTGAAGAAATTATGTAGCAGCTTCAGGTCGTAGCGAAAGCGCGACGGTGACAGCAGACGACTATATTCTGAAGACGGTGGGGCAGTGAAGGGGGCCTGCTTCTGCTTATGGGGGACACCTAAGGAATATTCTGCCGTAAAACATTCATAACAACGGCATCCTGTGCGACGAAAAATTTGATGATGTGCGCCATGGGCAAAGTGACTTTTTTGCCCCCCCCCCCTGTATACACCTTACTGCAGTATATAAGGGCTTTGCACTTTAGTATTGCATTAAACGGTTGGAATTGCTGCTTACCCATGGGAAAAAGAGAAACAATAAAACGGTAGAGAGGTCAACAGAAAAGTCAGTAACGAATGAAATGAATTTCGATGATGAAGAAATGGTGCCGGTTACTTACCAGTGCTTTACAGCAGTGAAATGAAAATTTGGAAATCTAGCTGTTGATAAAGTTTTCCACACTATCCGGCTGGATGTATAACATCAACAGTTTTGCCTCTACTCAAGCGGTATAACTCCAGAAACCCGAAAAAAAAACCACGAAACTGCCAATCGGTAACGAATTTGGAATTTGCGGTGCAACACAGGTGTTGCGCCAGCTTCCTGCAACATTTGTTTTCACCCAATTCGCCTAAACCATGCGCAGAGATCATCCAGTGCCCTGTCCACTAACATTGACTCCTTCCTACCACAATTTTGGGCATAATATTTGGGACAAACTGGCGCCAGAAGTCAGTGTCGTCATCAGCACACTACCAATGCAGAACGAAGATTCAGCGAAATATTCTTTCTTCTTCTTGGGTTCCACTGAAAGGCACCTCCGGTTGTGATACTTGAGTAGTACCTTTTTGAAAATTTAGCTCAGTTATCGTGACTCCTCTGCTCCCAATCATCAAATACAAGAGAGATTCTTCAGCAGGTTCGTAAACCACCACCATTACACGGGGGCATGATAAGAGAGCACGGTTGGGCGTACAAACGACCTCCAATCTTATACAGCAATAAATACTAATTTTCAAAATAAACGAAATTCATTGGCAGATGCCCCCAATATTCAAGAATTCTACCGATGTCAGAACTTACATTCGGTAACGAGACGGCACCTCACAAAAATTATAAAACAATAGAATTAGATTAGTGCATTCATCACAAAGTATAGCTGGACTATCGAAAACGTAAAAAATTTATTGTTTACTTCGAATTCAACAACATGAGAAAAAGTCATCTTGAAAACAACGACGCAACCGCCTTTAGATGGTAAGTTCGATGCTGCAGATAGCCCGCTTACTGAAGTGGCCAATACCTAAATTGCATTCAAGGCGGTTACCCATACATCAGAAACCAGCTCCCCACCAGAAGCGGCCTGTTCAGATGGCCTGAAGCTGCTTCGAAGGGACAACTCGAGTGGTGCAACGCTCGCTCGAGCAGCTTGCAGAACATTGAGCAAGTCCTGACCGCCACCGAAATGATTAAAATTTCACAGGATCAAAGAGGCATATTACAAAGTGATATGTAAATCTGTCATGAAACCAACAACTTCGGAACCTAATAAACAATTGAAAACACCGGAACAACAAGTAATTATAAAAGATGCTACTACTACACAACTACGAAAAAAAACTATTCAAACTTGATTCCTTGGGCAAGTGGGAGATCCTTACTGAAGTTGATGGTGCATGTCGATCTAAAGAAGCACATTCAATTCACTAATATGTATAACACCGCCAAAAAGTACCACCTATATATTACAAGTGTCAGCAGTATTACCTATCTACACGGTTTTCTGAAATACAAGATAGCCACAGAAAATGATCGGGATCCTAAATTCATGTAATGGTGCATGCAAGTCCGAACTTGGCAAATTTGGAACGACTCAGTTTGAAACGTAATAAAGGATTACAAAAGCAGCGTCCTCCCAAAATCAATTTTTTGACAAGACATCTGCAAAGCCCGTTTCCTACTTGAATAAAGATCTTTGCTTAGTAAGCGCCGACTGTCCCAGAAGAGCATGGGTAGCTGAAATAATATGAAGTAAAAACAGTCCAAGAAGCACCCAGCTTTGTATAATATGAGACAAACAAACAAGAGCTAGGCTTCTGTCCCCACATAGCTTCAGTTTGAAACAGTTTATCTTGCTCTCCTTCGAATCTTAAGAAAGTGGACTTTTGAGCCGGACCAAAAACCTCTACATAAAGTTAATGTTAGAAAAGAGATGGTTAATAAACGAGACCAAGGGTTCAAGAAGGTACAGAATTTTAACACATTGCGGACCGCCCGTTTATGAGCATCTCCGTATACGTATTTTCGATCTTTTCAAAACCCAATCATCATTAATCTATCAACAATTTTATCAGTGATGACACATATGCTTTCCGGCTCTGAAAATGAGTGCAAGCAGTTCAGAACTATTAGAAACCCTAATAGACAAAACTGTGCTTTTTCGTGTGAGCGTGCGCCACATGGTGGTGCACGCGGTAGGCGTAGCACGCGGTAAGCGGAGGCCTAATAAGTGATCAGATTGAGAAAGGCGATGAGATTCAGCTTTCTCTCAATCATCTCTCAGTGGCCTAGATAGAAGACTGGGCGCGTCCAGTTCTGAGCGCCCTATCTTAAAATATTCTGGTTTTATGGGGAAAGCAGCAAAAAAATATAAATTTGCATTGTAGGCCACATCACAATACACATTTCTCAATCAAAAAATTACCTCCTCATGTACTGCCTCCATGAATCAGATCCAGATTCGCGACCACCACCAGTCTCCTTTTCACCTCCGAAGGCTCCTCCAATCTCTGCACCCGATGTCGGTATGTTTACATTCACTATGCCACAGTCACTTCCCTTTGGTCTGAAAACTAAAGATTTCTGAAAGTCAAACGATGCAAAAAAGTTTAACATAGAATATCACCACTATTTCTTATCTTACTCACCGGGGGAGACGTTCAGTTCAACGGGAAAAGCTGTTGAGGTTCCTTTCGTTCCCCATCACACTGTTAGGTGCCTTTGTCGCGAAAGCGCCAGCTACTTTCTACTTGGACACCCCCTAACCCCTCCACTGCCAGCTACCTTCTGCTTGGACACCCATAACCTCCCCACTGCCATCTTTCTCTTTTATGAACACCCGATTTGTCCCGATTTCATCATTAAAACAAAAAAAAACGCACCCCATCCACTTGAAGACATTCTGGATGTTGTTGGTAAAGAGAGATGAGCTCAGTCCTTGAGACGCCTAAAACAAATAAAATTCGGCTGAGCTTGTGAATGACGCCTCAAAAAAACCAATCTGAGCCGCGCCAGAACAAGAACAACTTCCACGTGTACTATTCGACTACAGGCGGACACTTGTGAAAAGCATGCGTATGTTTATTTAGTAGAGAAGCAATGTTGCATTCCAGCAACGATGCAGCAGTATATTCAAATAGACGCCTTTCTGGACCCTAATAATGGATGTACGTCAGAGGTAGAACTGTCAAGGCGGATTAAAAGCTAATCAAAACTTCAACAGAGTAACTATCTCTTGGGGAAAAATTACCCAAATTGAGCGAAAGTTCAGTAAAAGTGTGCTAGACCCACACGGTCGCCACGTGAAATATGAGTTGTTGTCAAAAGGTAAACACCAATCGATTATTGGATTACCATTTAATAATGCAACCTTCATAGCAAATAACAAAGATATTTCACAGAATTGAAATTTGACAGCTTTCTCAACTAATAGTGAGCCAGAATCTTACCGAGAAACTTCACGAACCTCATTGTTGTACTTGATAGCCTCATCCAGATTATTCACTTTGATAACGTATAGAATGGGTGCAAACGTCTCCCGCAATACTATGGGGGAATCGTGGGGAAGGCCAGTGATGATTGTAGGAAGAACGAAATTTCCCTCTTTCTCCAAGACCTGAAATTCAGTCAAGTGTAATCACTGTCGCACAACAAGAATCAGCAATCTGCTATTGTTATGTTTGGGACAGTGAAAACTTTTGTTGAACGAGCCGCTAAACCTTTTGCTCCTTCAAGAAAAAATTTAATGAAGAAAGAAGGCCTTCATAATGGGAGAGAACTCTTGTTTGAGCATGGATTAAGCAATCTAATTATTTTACAACATTTTTTTATTTGAAAAAAATGTAGAGGAAAATAGAAAGGGGCAATGAGAAATTCCTAATGCCCTGGTCACAAAACATTCGCATAAATCCAGCATAGTGAAACAAAACTTTTTTGTAATAACTCTTACCTTGCCTCCGTACTCCACTTTTCCTCCACTGGCGATTGATTCAGCAACAGTTGCCTATAATATGTATGAAATTGAGGAAAAAAGAACTCAAAGAAAGGAAAAGAAAGGATCCCATGGAAGATTTGTTTCCTACTTTGTACTTCATCACGGCGGCTTGGTTATGAAGAGGGCCAATAATGGTGTTCGACTCGAGCGGATCACCGATTCTTGACTCGAATTGAGCATATGCACGCTTTACACGTTCAAGAACAGTGTTGTAGACTGCTTCATGTACAAATAAGCGACGCGTAGTTGTGCACCTTGAGAACATATGTCAACTATGGCCACGTAAATAGCCAGTGGATCAATAGACTAAGTTGAGCTACCTCTGTCCGGCTGTACCAACAGCAGCAAACACGGTGGCTGGCACCACCATGTTGATGTCCGCATCATCATTAACAATGATTGCGTTATTGCCACCGAGTTCGAGCAGAAGCTGCAAAGTTCAAAAGACATATTCAAAAAATAACTGAAAAACAAGAAGGTGAACTTCAAACGGAAGTTAAACACAACAGACCTTTCCGAAACGTTGCTGCACCTGCTGACCAACGATGCGCCCTACTTCTGTTGATCCTGTGAATGACACTAGGTTGACGCGTTTATCTTTAACCAGAGCCTGACCAACGTCTCCCTGAAAGGCGAGGAAAAGATTTTACAAGCACACATATCGCTGATTGAGAAGCTTCACAACAATATGGGTCTTTGGTTTCACACATTTAAGATACAACCAGATACACATCCAAAGAAAGGACGAATTTCACTAATTCTGGGACCATACAATAAAGCCATTGTGTCTTTATCATAACGAGCCCTTCCTTATTTATTCTGACTACTCATCTGCATACAAGTGTAGAAAACTTCTATTACACAAAAAATATCGCAAATAGTGATACCTCTCCGCAAACCAAAGAGCACAGCCCACCAGGAAGATTGTTTGCACGTAGTACTCCTTCGACGAGTCTAGATCGCTAGTGTAATGGCAGTGAATAGAAATGACTTAAGCAACAACCCCAGCAGTCGTGTCGAAGAATCTATTCAGTGGATGTGCCGTTGTTGCGTCTCGAAAGTGGGCGACAATGACGGTAAGACATTACAAAGAGTTTAGCGACTTCGATTTTGGACTTGTACCTCGCGCCGCCGTCACGCAACGTGGGATACGACGTAGCGGATAAGATAGCCTATGGGTGGTTAGATATGGTGGCTTCTTGATGCGGTTGTGTTACCTCCTATATCACCACTATCAGTCGCTGTTATCCCACCAATTTGTACTGGGGTTGTTGCTTCGAAAAAGACATAATAATCGGTGTAAAATGAAAAATCGATGTATCCTTCACCACCTACTTGGTGACAGCGATAGCGGTCAGGGGTGTTGACGGAGCAGGCTTCCAAATCACGGCATTTCCAGTGACAAGAGCCAGCGCATTGTTCCAACCATACACGGCACAAGGAAAGTTGAAGGCAGAAATCACGCCAACAACACCTATAATACTTCTTAATTATAAAAAGAAAATTTCTTCAGATTAGAAAATTTTTGAGTAAAAAATCTTATGAACAATAAGCTTTGTTGAAAAAGCTCGACTTGAAGCTGTGAATGTATACACACCCAATGACATGTGAGGTTCTCTCGTTTCATTCGATTATATTTTTTACTAAAGGCAAACCCAATGACCGAGAGGATTCCACTGCTCCAGAAGCGCATGTCCGGGCCTTTCTGATGGTGAAATTTGTCCATTGAGTGATCGAGATAAACCAGTAGCATAATCACAGATGTCAACATACTCCTGGACTTCTCCCACACCTTCAGCTGAGATTTTTCCCATTTCCATGGAAACCTAAAAGGAATAGATTGTTGGTGAATGCATAGCGAAAACCAATAACACTCACCAGTTTACCCAAGTTTTGAAGCTGAGAGCGAAGTCTATCCCCAATCTGCCGGACAATCTCACCACGTCGTGGTGCCGGCACCTCACACCAATGCTGAAAATTATACCAATTCACTGCCATAATAATGAAATTCAATGACATGCCAATTTCTAGCACACGTAGATGACATCAAAAGGCTTGACAAGTCACATAGACCTGATAGCTTTTTGAACTGGAGTACCCTACTCGCATTCTATCTGATAAAGTGGACAAATCGCAAATCGAAATTGGAAATGAAATTCAGGTCTGCCACCACTAGATAGAATGTTCAGATCTGAGTCAGGCTGCAAATGGGTTCTTGGATGCTGCCATCTTTTGATGAAGTCATTTGTAATCGCGTGAGCGTGAGCGTTTTTTCCTTCGTTTCTTTCTTTTAGGACGAGTCCCAATTTAACGTCTTTGAAAGGATTTACACCTGGTTGGCCGAGCCAGGATTTGATATCGAAAAAGTGCACGCAACGGCCATCTTTGAAGTGCTTCAATGTGCTCAAAACACAATATATTTGCACAAGCAGCCTTGGCGGAAGGATTGTAGTAGATCTCTGGGAGTAATGTACTGCTCCCCAGTTGATCGCTTGTGTTTTGAAGCCTGATACTTCTGAGCATGAAAACTGTATCCGTGCGAATTCTAGTTTTCTTTTTTAAAAGCCAAGTTATGGCCCCTATCAAGAAAAACACCTGCACAGTCGTCACACTCAATCATAGGCAGAGCTCAACAAAGAGAATGACAAACAAAAGAATTGTTTGAGAGCCAATTTTGATCACCAACAATAATTCAAAACTGGATTCGGATGGTACAAAATTTGTGGGGGATGTAGAGCTCAGTCAGATCATTCGTTCGGTAAGTAACCATAGCGCATATAAATAACAATAATTTACCTCGTATGCTTTCCGCGCTTCTTGAACAGCTGTTTCGTAATCCTCCACAGTACCATTTTGAACCTGAAAAATAATCGTTATTGCTGCGACACAATGAATTCTCATTTCAGGGAAATCTATGAGACGGTTCCTAGAACGCTGCGAAATTGGAAAAGATGAATTCATAAAGGAAGGATAGTAAGGAATGGAAATAAATGATAGCTTACGTTGGCTATTGGTTGGTTGTTGGCAGGGCAAACAGACTGCACGACAGGACCAGAAGCGGACCATTTGCCATGGAACACGCCACAATTGTTCTCAGAAAGACCAAGCTCCTTCAGGAATGAGTACTTGCCATCGTTGATAAGGAAGGAGGCCATTCTGTAGTTCTGGAAGATAACTCGCCGCGTAACGTTCAACCCTGCATTCATCAGCATAACTGCAACACAACGGTCGAAGACCTGAACAAGAAGCGGTGCTATATCGCAGCACACTTTCAAATAACGTTCGCTGCCGATCGGGTGGGAAACTGGATGCAATCTTGTTACTAAGAGAAAACAAGCAAAAGCATCGTAAATTACTAGCGTTGAAATAACTATGACCTTCACAGGTTCATAATAATTTAAATGCTTAAACCCTCCCACCTCTAATCAGAAAAAAAAGAAAAAGCAGTTACCAACACTTCTCCTCAACGTAGAGGTGAAAGTAGAACTGTCAAGGATAGGAAATGGCAGGGAGACTGAGAAAGAGACTTGCCATGCAGATCGAAAAATTTGAACAGAATACTCGTATTTTGTCGTTTTAGAGTAGCGGTTCCGCGACAGATGGGATTGATCGCTTCGCAGCCAGGGCGATACAAAAGTCGAAGAAACAGCCAATACGACCCCTCCCCTTTCCCGACAGTCGATTGCGTCAATTCCGGAGCCGACCCCGCCCCAAAATCTCTCAACAATTGACCTCACTGTACACCTTCATTTCACTTTTCGGCATCACCATTTCACCAACCTATCCTCATTGTTCCCATTTCACTCTCAACAGCCAAACTTTATTCTCCAAAATCCCCAAGCACAACCCCACTCACGGAGGTAAACGCGACACCTTTCCTTCCACCAGGACGCCACCGCCGAAAAATTCTCAGCCGTTTAGTTGGTAGTTTCGGCACGGCAAAATCGCAACCAAAACTCCACAGTGTATAGATAGGAGAGGAGTGGAAATGTAAGTGCTAGAACAAGAAAAGTTCGTTACACAACTTACTTCACTAACCCGAGTACACAACCTGGGGCCTCGGTTCCCTAAATCTCAGATATACGATCCTTTTCAAAAAAGGCGCACCAGGTCTTATAATGCGGTTGCGGTAGGAATATGGATATTAGGCACTACTAAACTTGCAGAAGCGCAGAATTTTCGAACAAATTCTTCTCAGAACCCACCGAGTAGACACTACAGGCAAGGGTTTCAGCGAGGCCCTTTTTTGAAATCATGAGGGTGAAATTATGATTGGAATGGTCGGATAATTGTACTATGCATCAAAATTGCGCCTTATACCAATTCCCATCACAGTAGCACATACTTTCGAAAGTTGTGTTGTGAGCAGATCAAACCTTAGTTTACGCCATTTCCGAATTACGGTACCCCGCTGTAGGAATGTATTTAAATTATGACGAAGCCTTCGCAACAATGATGCTAGCCGATACGCGTACCCACATCACCGACACCTCATGTTAGTCACCGAAAATTCTGTTTTATATGATTGAATGATCAAGGGATTGCTATTGCACTTCCGTAAGAACCATTCAAGGAAAAAAAAAGAGTACGGCCAGCACTAGATAAGATGTAAGGGAAAAATGCTTATCGAAGACCGATCACATTGCAGACAGAAAACCGCCCATTGCAATGACCTTCGCTCACGATAAGAAGGCCGTCATTTTAGCACCTCTGCAATCTGCAATCTTTTGCAAAAAAAAAAGAAAGGAGTTCCCTGAAACAAACCGGAGGGGATGGAAATTTGTGTACTTACGAACTATGAGTCGTGAGCAAAATTATGTATCAGATATTATATTACAGTAAAGTCGGATAACGCTTATTCACACATGGAATTGATGATTTTCCCGCTTTTTTTCACTAAAAAATGTTAGGTCTGCAGGGTTATCAACAACACCAACTTTTTGAAAGAGCAGCGCTATCGATGTCATGCGTGATTATGTGCCTTCTTAAACTGACTCCATCTAGACAGTAGTTGTAACAGTTCATCGCAATTCATTCACAGTAGTGGTAAAGCCCTATTAGTCGAATGACTGAAATTAATTGAAACCGTTTATACGACATATATGAAACAAGATTACTATGCTCAAAAGACAGCTCACTATTCTTCCTTTCCAATATAAATCAGGAGAGACGCACTCATTGAGGAAATTGTTTCAATACAGTCCAATATATTTATGTTCAGTTTAAAAAAGGATGTTACGTATATATCCCACCCTGCGCCGGTGCAATTGCGTACCGCAAGCGATTACAGTACGCCCACGCCTAGTTCTACTGGCGTTGACATTTGTAACTGATGGGAAATGGGAAGGCTAATCAATTCATAACTAGCACAGCTCCGAATATTGTACTGAGTTGAGCCATGCATTTCTCCTTTCAGATAGGTGACGGGTACCGAGAGATGCTCTACATATCGTTGGAAAACCATTGCGCGCCTGGAAACCACTCTAATTCCTCATGTCATTTACTTCTTAACATGCAAAATAGGGTAATGTGCTAGCGTATTTATAATGTTCCGCACTAGAACAATCATTGATGCCATTATGCATTGTACCAGTGCAGTGAGGGACTCGAGGGGACGAAGTTTACTTGGCACCTGAGGGAAGAGAGAGTTCTAATTCGTGAGGTAGTTTTCATCATGAACTGCTTAGTAGTTGCGTCTCACGGCCACCTTGTTTTCGAGTTGGCAGTTG